AGTTAAAAGCTAACTCTTTGCCACAAGTTTTACACTTAGCTTTATTTTTTTCTCTTATTTGAATAAAAAAAAGGTCAAACAAGAGATGTTTCGGCCCGTTTAGAAGGTTGTCTTGAAAAAGTAGGGGTAGTATAGGGGGTCATCTGGGGCATCATTTGGATTAGTTGGGTTAACTTGAGCAACAGGACTAGTGGGTGTATCATCATCCGGTTGCGTTTCATATAAATCTATTTTCTGCTCATTTTCTTCATCTATAGTTGGATTACCATAAAGATTGTTCATATATTCATCATCTAAGCGTTCACCACTACCAATATTATGCACATATTGGCTATCCGTAAATTGTAATAAAGTATTATCACTATAAAGAATAGGAGCAGGTGGAGGGCGGGTATGAGGTTTGGGTAAGGGAGGCCGGGGAATTAGAGGAGGAACAGATTGGCCACTAGTTTCACCACTCTTGTATTTTCTCTTATTTTTACTAAACATTTTTTTTAAGGAATATGCTATCTTAATTATAATTATACAAAGTAATTAAATAAAACAAACAAAAATATAATATTAAAACTAAAGAGTTGGAACAAGTTTACCGAATTGACGAACAACTTGTTAAAATTAATTATCGTTGAATACTTCAATTCATCAACTTTACAATTTTTCACACAAGTTGCAACAACAAAGTAACCAATTTTAGAAGAAAATTAGAGAGAGATTGATGATTTGGTGAAGAAAAATAAAAGAATGAGGGGGTATTTATAGTTGAAAATAGGGAAAAGGTATAATTATAAAAAGTTTGGGGTTAAAATAAAGTTGGGGGGGTTAAATGGCTATTTATAAAATAGCCAACGGCTATTTTGGCATCCATAACGACTATTTTTTAAAGGTGCAACAGTCAGATTTTAATTTGAGATTTTTTTTTAAAATTAGTCGTTGGACCCGTTTATGACCGTTTGGGACTGGGTAGGACCGATTGAGCCAGCCCACTTAGGAGCCGGTCCCGGTCCTAATGGGCATATTATTTGAACCGGCCCACTTAGGCCTCAAACTCCCATGGTCCCGGACTTAAACGAGCAGGCCCGTTTAGGCCCACTACCCATATGCGCTCGCGGGCCCGGGCCTAACCGGCTCACTTGCCACCCTTAATACATATTATAAAAATAATACTACAATCCCGATATTCTTCACGAGGGGTAAGGTTTGCGTACACGCTACCCTCTCAGGCCCCAAGTATACGAATATGCGAGAAATGTTATTATTATTGTTGTTGTAATCCCGTTATAATTAATTCTGAAATTAGTTATATTGCAATTTTATCTCAACTAAACGTAGAATAAACTCATTTCAAATTTAATTTCGACATTAATTATCCCTTATCCTCGTACCAAAGCATAAAGTGCCTATTTTTATTGTTTTGGTGCTGCGGAGTGCGTACTGGTGCAGGGCCTCTTCGAACTTGGTGCTAATGACATTTCCATTTAACATTCTTTTTTAATTGTCTATTTAGATGTTATTTGTACGAATTTATCTTGTATAGATGAATCGCATAAATACTTTTACACCATTGGTATAAATTAGTCTACTATAACAAGTCCAAGTTTTTATTTTTATGCGATTAAAGATTTGTTTTGTAATTTCTGTATCACTAGTTTGAATTTGTAAATATGTTTTACTATGTCTGAACATAAACAGTTTAAGTATAATGGTTTCCTGGCCACTTAAATTTGTAAGGCTTTTAAAAGCCGATACATTAACTTTAATCTTTCCCATTTGAACACTCATACTCATGATTCCCTTAACTAATAAACACATCTCACATTTGAGCCTACACACGTGTATTACACATACACAGACATGTCCATCCAGTCAGCAAATGACCAATAGATTTGTTACACGTCAAGGGCGCGAAAAAAACCCAACTGATTGGGTCCTCCCCTCCCCCTTTATTCAATAGACCGACCAAAAGACGCTCATTTCGTCTTTTTCCTCTCTCTAACCAACCCCTCCCCTCTTAAACCTAGGTTAGTAATGGCCTGAAAAACCAGTCACCCTCATCCAAAATCGATCATAATCACTCGCCCGTTATATTATTTTCGTTTATTATCTGTTAATCTCGTTCTGATCGAGCTTCGTTTGGTCTGTGCTTTCGATTCAAGTCACGTTATAGGATCTGAAGGTTAGTTTGTCTCTTTTGATGTCGTTTTCTCTTGGCATGTATTTTCTTATGAAATATTGTG